TTCCCGGCTACCTTAGTCAGGGGTCTTTTAAATAAAATGAAAAATGTTAGTGCTTGGTTCATTTTAGTAAATTGGTAAATGTAAGTGATAAGGAGCTATTTTACTAATTTTAATTAGTTTTATTTTTACATTTCAAAGCAAGAGCATGTGTTATACTGATTGTTTTTAAAAAATAACTCACCTATAGCAAATAGTGAAGAGAGATGGCACAAAGACAGGTAGACTGCTCAGGAAGTAATGAGCTTCTAGCTGGAGAGTGGGAATGGGGACCCCATTTCTCAAGGAACCTGGGTTTTGGTCTGTGTAGAGTACTCTGCTCAGGCTGCCTTGACAAAATACACGGCCTGGGTGGCTTAAACAACAGGTATATACTGAAGGCTACACATCCATGAGTACCATGCTGGAGAAGTCATTGTCCGGTGAGAGCTTTCTTCCTGGTTTGTAGACGACCACCTTCTTGCTATGTCCTCACACAGCCTTTCCTCTGTGCTCCCTTGGGGAGAAAGAGAAAGATCTCTCACATCTCATCCTGTTCCTATAAGGACATCAATTCTATCAGAGTAGGGCCCCACCACTATGACCTCATTTAACCTTAATTATCTCTGTAAAGGCCCTTCTTCAAATATAATCATATTGATGGTTAGGGCTTCAAAGTATGAATTTGGGGGGAGAGGGGCACCGTTCAATCCATCCCACTGTGTAACTCCCAGGTGGTTTTATTCTTGGAGATATAGGTTAATCCCTATATAAACGCCGGATTAAAGTACTGACTATATATAATATGTGCATTATTAAGCTCACATCCTTCAGGGTCAGGAAGATCATGTGACATGAATGAAACAGAAAGGCTATGTTAAACATGACCAGTCTAAAGAGAGTGGCTCTAGAGGTTGCTGCCTGTGGAAATGCAGAAATGTGGAAAGGAGGGGCTAACGATTGCCAGACCATTTGATTTTTCAAGTGAAGTCAGACCCTGGACTCTTGTGAGAACGCTCCCAATTTTCACATATAGGAAACTGTTATTAGGTCTATAAGATCAATAGATAGTTAAAGATAGACATTTTCTTCAATGGCAGTTAATGTAGGAAATTAGAGAGAAGCCTATATAAAGCAAGAGACAGTGTACGTTCTCATGTATGGTCGTGTAAACTTCCTAGTGCCTTAAAGTTACCCCCAGATACACACTGGTGATGATATCAGCTGTACAGAAAGAAAATGCTACCAGTCATGAGAATCCAGCCTAGTAACTGAGGCAAAACTATTTGAGCACATTTCCAAGTTTATAATGTAAGACAGGACAATCTCAGGTCCATTTCCCAGCCATAGCATCCCTCAGAGGCACTAACTAATTAATTTTGTTTAAACCACTATGTGAATCAGCACTGTGCAGGCTAAGGGCACGTTTGTGTCTATGATGTAGAGTGGGGAAACAAGCCCTGAGAATAATCCTTGACATTAAAAGAGTGAATAAAAGGAGAGAAACCACTGAAGAGGCAGAGAAAAGAGCTCCTACACGAAATTGAAGAACAAATAGGGCTAACTGATATTTTTGAAATGGAGAGTAGAGGAACGAGGCAACAATGTCAAATTCCACGGACAAATGAAGTTAATTGGAGAAAGTTTATACCA